CACATTAGGAAATGTTAAAATGACATAAAAACAGAGCAACAGCCAGTGACAACAATGTGACACCTGTTTTTCTCTAGGTATATCGGTGTGAGTGTGTGTGTATGTGTCTGACTGTATGTTTATGTTTCTAGCGCATTTAGTGACATTTATGTGCAGTGTGGCGTTTTATTTGCAGCTCAATGCACAGCAAAAATTGCTTACGAAGTGCGCCATGAGTTGCACTTGTTGTTGCTTTTTATATGCGAACTATAAGCACTGAGAAAAAAAAACTGTAGCTCTTTTGTAGACTTGAAATAGATCTGCTTTCGTTAAGACATCTGGGAATTATTCCATTCTATTTTCTTTTCTTTTTTATTTTCTTTTAGTCAATAGCCATTTGCAGTCTAGTTGGCATTTTTCAATTTTTTAAAATATGCCTTCAGCTGCTGCTTAAAGTATTTTAATTTACTGTGTATAGAGAGTTGCTGACTGTGCTACCATATGGAAATTATGGAATATTTTGAGCTTTTGAATATATGCACAATTTTCATGTCTTTAGTCCAATACTCAAGGTTTTGTTTATCAGCAAAGTGTTTGATTTATCTTATGTAAGATCTAGAAGCTATTAAAAATTAAAATGCAGTTTTCTAATCCATAAATACTTCAAATTAATAATCTAATAATATACAAAGATCTCTGGAGTATAGCAATAAAGACTTCGGGAGCACTTGCAGGTCTAGAAAAATAATTTTAAGATAACGATATGCATTACCGTTAGATAAGAGGACCTTACTATGACATTCTTTTTAGAGCGATATAATAATATACTTTATAGGAGTATATATAATATTATCATATGTAGACCCCCTACATATTATATATATTATCATATATTATCATATATGGGGGAAATCTTGATGACGAGTGGCCCCCTTTTTATGCAATCAGACTTAAAACTCAATGTGCTGTTGTCCTTTGTCGTTTGATATACCTATTTATCTTTTCTTCTCTTGCATCGCCTCTCAGCTAGTGTCTCACTTTGCGCTCCTTTTCCTATCACAATTACGCCAGACTCCATCGAACTGAGTTTCCCAATGTCAAACCGCCTAACTTGAATGAACTTAACAGCGCCTGAAATATTCTACATGAAGTTAACATTGATGTTTCCCTACTTAATGGTTCTTTAAACTAATGTTTTTTTTTTTTTTTTTTTTTTTTTTTTAGTTTTTTTTTTTTTTATTATATATATTCTTTTATATATTTTAGGCTCCTATTGTATAAATATCATGCCAAAGAAACATATTTTGTAAATATGTAAAGTTTAAATTGAAGCAAAGAAATTTTGCATCATTTGGTCTACAATATTTATGGAAAAAAGTTTACTTACACTAATTAAATAAATGTAACAAATTACAAAAAAAAAGTGTAAAAAACAATACAAGTTGCATGGTGATTGATTTTGTTTGCATGTTGATTTATATAATTTATAATTGACTTAATTTATTTAAATGTTGTGAAATTAAAAGCAGCTATTTTCTCATGTCACATATTTCTTTTTACTCAATAGTAAATAAATATATAAAAATATAAAATAATAATAATAAAATAAAAATATATATAAAGTTCTAAATCTTTTAATCCAGTTTTTTGTAGCCGTGCATAATACGCGAGCCTTGCATTTTGCTCCATCTCTATCGGCTATACGTGGTATCCTCTAACAATTTCCGCGTTACCTTCATTTTTATGCGGCTGCCTGTGCGCTCTGATGTCGCATAAAATTTTACAGGTTTTTATTAAAATGTGGCAGAGTCGTAAGTGTGGGCGAACGTAGCTAAAGTTGAAAGTTGATGCTGAAGCTGAAGCTGTGTGTGTGTGTGTGTGTGTGTATGCGGCAGCAGCTAACTACGAGTATTACTTGCACTTTTGTGCGAAGTGTGCCCGCTTAAAGACACGCTTCTGGTCATAAGAAATGCATAGCATAAGTTTTGCTAATGAAACATAATTATTAAGCCATAATTAGCACGCATTTGTGTTTCTATAAAAAGAAAAATCCCCTCTGATCAGGATCAGAGACACCCCAAGGCGGTTTAGCTCCACTGGAACAGGACGCGCACAGCATCTGGATGCTCGTAAGCTGTTCGCATCAAGTTGTAAGCAGTTGTTGCTGGGGCGTTTCCAGCCCCTCGCAAAATCTCAGCCAGGCAAGCGTAAAAGCAGCTAATAATGTAAACAACTTTGGCGAGGTGGGCGTAAAAAAAAAAAAAAAAAAAAAAAAAAAAAAAGAGGGAGGTAGAAGAAGAAGTGAAGAAGAAGCGAAGGAAATCTGGAGGGCTGTCTAAGCCTCGGTTCGTTATATAGGATTGTTATTGTTGTTGTTGCTGTTGTTATTGCTGGTCATTCGCAGTTGGTCGGGCGTATAATTATGACAATTGCTGTTTTCCTTATGCGGCTCGTTGATTTCCAAGGTGGCAAATTGATGAGCCACGTCGCAGAGTGGCCGAAGTGCAAAGAAAAACACCGGAATTATTTATTAATGTATTTTTATTGTCGTTGGGCGTAATGTAAATATATCCTGCTCCAGTATTTGCTATGAATGTTTTTTTTTTTTTTTTTTTTTTTTTTTTTAAATTTTTAAATAAATTTTTTTTTGCTTATGTTTTGTTCGCGAAATCAATCGAAAAGTTCATATTGAATTCATTCATAAGTTTCGGTTTTCTGTTGAGCGTTTAGTTTAACTATTCGTGTGATGCTCTTCTTACGATCATCATTTGGGGAGAGATACGATTGACGTTCGTGAAATGAGGATCAGTAAGTGAGTGAATACATGTATATGTAGTTCAAAAAGTCTATGCAAGCGTTCTTCACATTTACATACTCAATTAAAGTACGCTATAGATGTGCTTAGCGAGCATATTGTTCGCATACATTCGAATACATACACACAAGACTTTTCTTTTGGGTAAAATATCAGACCAGAAAACCTGACCGAAAGTCGAAGATGAACCAAAGGAAATAATTGCTCTCTGAGCTTTAATAAAAAAAATTATTATTAATAAAAAAAAAAATAACTTGTGCTAATATATTTCATTAATCACCTAAACTAAATGGCAGAAGGCTCATTATGAAAACAAATCTATATAGAAACACAATGCTTTGCAGACTTTTAATCAATTTCCGCATCGCTGCACGTGGCGTATGCTTGATATATGTTGCGCATACGCCACCGCATTAAAATTGCAAACAGACTGCAAGCAATTTGCGCCAGCAACTAAGTGCAATTTAGTTAATTTAGCACTTGATTAACTTTTGAAATGAAAAATACAAAATAAAGAGCAAAAACTAAAAAAATTAAAAACAACAGCAACAACAACACAACGCTCCACACTTCAGCAAAGCAATTGAAATGCACATTGAGGCCAGCTACTGTCGGAAAAACTCTAACTCTAACCCAAACTAGCTGCGCTTTTACTTTGTTTTTCTATTTTATTTTGTTAGTGGTACATATTTTTTGTTTTGTTCCTCTTTTTTTTTTTTTTTTTTTTTTGTATTTATTTTTTAACTGGGTAGCAAAAGTTTTAAGCAGCTCTGGTGTTTGTTAAATGTTGGTTGTTGTTTGTTGCTGGCGTCGGAGTTGGCGCTGAAGTTGTTTATATGCGGTCAACATGGCAGAGCCTGCAATTGCAGAGGGCACAGAGTGAGAGGGCGATATAGATGTATACAGGGAGAGGGAGTGGGACACAGAAGCCAAATAGCTAAGTGTGAGTATGACATGAGTATGAAAATTTAATAAAAAAAAAAAAAAAAAAAAAAAAAAAAAAAAAACAACAGCAAATTGAAGCGGGGAATTTTTAAACGACTTGACTTAGTTTTGAAATTGTTGAAAATAATATATAATTAGTTGCAAGTACTGCTGGGATGAACTATGAGAATTTACTGTACTCTAATGTTTATGTATCTTATTAAAATCATTGGACTTATTTTAATTTTACTTAAACAATATTACTTATTTTAATTGAGCAAAAGTATGATTGTTATACTGATATGTTATACTGTAATACTCATTAGTAACTTTAAAATTATAAATTCTTCAGTCTTTATTTATATATAGACTATATATAAATAAAGATTTAAGAATTCATCATTTATATTAAATTTAACTAAATTTTCCCAAAATAAATTCTTTAATCTTTATTTATATATAGTATATTCCGTTTCCATACACCTTAGCAATATTTATATTGAACTATATCCACTGCGAGGCCTTGAATTGTCTCCTGCTATTAATTTGAGCTTTAACACATGTAAACATGTTGTTGATTTAATTTATTTTAATTATTTAAATCTGTACTTTTTTTTCATGCATTCTTTTTGCATAAACAATGCGAAAGTTTACTATGCATAATTTATTAATGTTCAGCTATTAGATTTTACATTTTGTGGTTTGTGGTTGAGGCTCGAGCCTGAAGAGCTATTAAATATGCAGTGTTCGTACGACTAAGAGTACGAATTCGCTGGGGAAATATTAAGCAATTAAATCGATTCCAGCATAGTTGATTTTTAATATGGAGTTAGTCATGCTATTATCAGCATGTCTTGCGACAAGTTTGGCAACTTTTAGGCGTTGGCTGTTGTTGTTTTTCCTGTTCTCAAAAGCCAAAACAAATTTCCGCCAGTGCTTGCCAAGTTTTGCCACAATGGCAGAGGCATAAAGGCCTCTCGAACTGTTCTCAATAATTTTGCAAGGCGCTCAAGAAATAAATATAAATACATAAATAAACTGGCGACGCGCCCCACACACACACACATACAGACTCAGCCGCCCCATAAATGGAATAGAAAATAAAATATGGTAAGTAAATGGTAAATGCTTTTTGGTTGTGGCTTTTTGACACATTTATATATAGATGTATATATTCATATGTCGAGTGTAGGGGGGCCATGGATGGGGTGTGTGAAATGATGGCGAAGGCGCCTTTGATTTGCATTTAGTAATTGAATTTTGTTTTGCAATCTATTTTTAGCTTTACGCATGCCAAAAATCGACGGAGAACAAAAAATATTTGCAAGCACTTCGTGTACCTTGATTCTACATTGGCAAAGACGGTCAAGTGCGGCCCCTAAAAGGAAGCTGCACAAGAATTTAACTGGAAGTAAAATTAATTCGTATGAAGTGACGCAAAGGGGGCTGCACGTGTAAGTAGAAATCAAATACAAAATTTTAATTTTTTGATTATCGTAATAGCGAATTGACTATTATAAATGTGTAAATATAACAAGTAAGAAGGCTCCAGTCGAGACTGCTCGACTAGACGATACCCTGAACCCTCCAAGCGGATATTCTACTCATTCCGTACTTCTTTTATGCACACATGCATACACATGCATTCACACGCACGTATATCACGCGCTCTCCTGAATACGCAGTTAGCAGGAGACAGCGCTTGGGCTGCGCTGCAGTGTGGGCAATATTATGAGAATCTATTAGTTGAATAATTTTTCGTCTAGTAAGACTGTATGTATGAAACTTTCAGAGCGTGATCATGAGAATGTGTGTAAATTCTAAAGCGCAAGTCTCTAGTACTTGAAATGCGTTTTTTACAAATTAACTTTGTATACAACGCAAATGATCTGCGATGATTCCTTCTGCCCGTTATATACATTTCACAAAACCATTATACCCTGATATAAAAATAGATAGGAGTAGCAAGACAGTGAATAATGCTTGAGAATTTTTGGTTGCAATTTTAATATATCTTAACATTTTTTGTATTTATCTGATGCTCATTAAATGTGTGTAGAATTATTTTAATTATTACTATTATTATTTTTTTAATTTTTTTAGTGTATTTATGTAAATGATTATATATTAATTATATTAAAATATATGAATATATTTGTTATGTTTCTATTATATATATTTTATTATATATATATATATATATATATATATATATATATATATATATATATAAATTTTTTATATATATTTGAGCATATGTTTTGAATCCTTTTTTATTTTATAAACTATCCTTTATAAATAAAAATATATATTATATAATATAATATAATGGTAGAAATATATTTTCTTTCATAAATTTATTTTCAAAATAAATGCTTACATTTAATACATTTGTTTTGTTATTATTTATGAAAATAAAAGTGAACTAAACTGTTTTTGTTTCTTCCATCCATTAAAACCCATTAAAATCAGAGAATAATGTCATTATAAATAAATTAAAAAGTATAAATATTCCCATATTCGAGGAGCTGAGTTAATATAGAGCTAGCGGCTAGAATAAATATAATAAAAAATATATACATAAAATTTCTTATTTGTTGATTTATATATTTTTGTTTTATATTATTTTTTTTTATTTAATTTTTTTTTTTATTTCATTTATATATTTATTCATCACCCGAATCCCACTTACTAAATGTTCTACCATTTTTACTTGTTATTACTGAAAACTCGAATTTAATTGTCCAAAATAAGAGTTGTAAATGTATTGTAAATGACATAAATATTAATTTTTTACCTTTAAAAATTGAATTCTCTGCATTGCTGCATTATATCTGAGAGAATACACTTTCCGCATATTGGCAGGCAATGTGAGCGTAGTTTGTGCTTCATTATTTTATTCAAAACGAAGTGCAGAGCAAGCTGTGTTTAGATATTCGTGCAATTCTCTTGCTTGTCCAATTAGTAGCCAGATAGCAGCTGCATCAGCTTCCAGAGGATGAGGCCAGCAGTAAATGGCAGCCTGATATAAATTTATAATTTAACAAAACTTCAACTAAACCCTCTTCTCTCTAGCTCTTTTGTACTTTTATTCCTGTCTTACTCTGCCCTGCTTTGCCCACTTCTCTTGCTTTGCAATTGCTGTTCGCTTATACGCTGGCTTAAAATGAGCTCTTCTTTGTGCTTCTCAAAACATTGCTGCTTTAGTTTGCATCCAACTACCGAGCTGTCTCTAATAAGCCACTAGAAAAAACTTTTGTTTGCTCAATGCTTTTACTCTTATTATTTACATAATACATAGCTTAAATGAGAGCTGCGTTAATTCCTGTCTATTAAGGAAAGTCCCCATAAACTGTTTATGTGGCTTATGCATCTCAATTCGCAATTTACTTCTAGCTCACTTGAAAACTTGATTATGCCGAAGGTTTAGCAGTTTGCTTTAAGATATCAAGTCGAGTTATCTACTTATTCGAGCAATTTACACGATTTTTATTACGGCCAGCACAGCACGGGTTATAAAAACTAAACACGCTGTGTGTGTGTGTGTGTGTGTGTGTGTGTGTGTGTGTGTGTGGCATTCGAGTATCTGCTGTAAGTTAACTTATCCAGGACACGCAGTGCAGGCCGCTCGTTTTGTTAGCTCGTTGCACTTTTCAAAACGTGTTGCAATTTGTGCTAAGAGCCGTCCGCTTTTATGATACTCGCTACATAAACACACAATCGCACACACACACACTCACACACACACACATGCACACATGCACATTGATATTGAAAGATGATTTTTACGATAATGTGAAAAAACTTGACGTGGGTCAAGTGAATGTTGGGCAGGTCGTTAAACAGGCGCTAAGCTTGGCCTGCGTGTCGTCTACTTTAAAGTCCATTAAGTCATATTTACGGCACTGGGATAGAGAGTGTCGAAAAGTGTTAAAGCTATAGTCAAACAGAAGAGAATACACAGACACACACATATACACACGCTCACGCGCACACACATACCAGCGCAAAAAGATAATAAAAAGTTGCCGCAGCTCATGATAATAAAACGTACAATGCTCGAGGCACGTGCTGCCTCAAATGGACACGCAGCCTGGACACGAGCCCCGGTCAGGCGACGGTATCCTGCTTAGCTGTTGGCAGTTGACATTCCTTTCTCCACTTTTTGCTTATTTCTGCTTCGTCTCTGCAGTCGCCCAAATAGATTTCTCTAAAGCAGTCCAGCAATGTGTGTGCAATGGCATCGCCTTGAAGCGCCCGCAGCAATTTGTTGCTGAATGATGTGTGAAGGACATAAAAATTCGAGGGAATTCAAGGGGTATCGCATCGCTATGGCTGAGGGGTGATGATGGGGCTGGGCTGGGGGTGTGTGGCAATTGGGATGCTGATAAACTAGACAATGGGGGGCAACAAATAGTCAGCGACGACGCCTTTGATAAACGTGTTGATGCTTGATACTTGAAAGACATTCGCGCGCTGACAGCCAAATGCAGGATTGCTGCCTGAGGGAATGCTTAAGAGATTTAACAAATAAATTTTCTACTTATTCGAGCAAGCTGTGTGGGATCTTGAAAGCAGATTAAGAATGCAAAAAAAATAAAAATAAAAATAAAAATAAAAAAATAAATAAATAAATAAATAAAATAAATAAATGCATTAAATATGATGACACTTTTTGAGACTAAAATTAGCTGTGGCTAAAGTTTACATATTTTAAGGAGCAAATTATGTCAAAAGTCTTGAGCTTCTGTTCTGCCTCGTACAGCACTGCTCTTCCCATAAATTATGTAAAATTATATACGCAATGTGGATTTAAAACAAATTTAAGATATGTTTATTTATAAGACCAAAAATTAGAACTCGAAAACAGAATTCTAAAATTATAGAAATTTATAAAATATTTCTTGGCAAATTTATTATAAATTAATATATAATTTAATATCCTATATTTTAACTAAAATATATTTGTATAAAACAGTTATATTTATACATAAATTCTACATAAATGAAAGTCGAATTTAGAGTGACCATATATGAATGAATTTTATAAATATAAATATTTAATACATTTATCCATCGCACATCTAGCATAAACTAAATCGTCCTATATTGCCAATCAATTTTAATATTTTTAATATCACACGTCAATAATTTGTCAAAAAATAACAAATATTTGCATATCAAATTTTTTTTTACAATCAATTGATATATTTAAGTTTTTTTTTTTATACCCTGAACCCATTGAAAATGGGAAATCAGGGTATAATGGTTTTGTTAAAAGTATGTAACAGGCAGAAGGAGGCGTGGCAGACCCCACAAAGTATATATATTCTTGATCAGGGCGACGAGCTAAGTCGATTTGGCCCTGTCCGTCTGTCTGTCCGTCCGTCCGTCCGTCCGTCCGTCCGTCCGTCCGTCCGTCCGTATGTATGAACGCGTCGATTTCAGAAGATATAAGAGCTAGAAACTTGAAATTTTTTTCCTAGGTTCGTGTATATCACGCGCATATCAAGTTTTTTTTTATATATCGATAACTACTCCCGATATTTTATTATCGATCAAAAACCTTATCGAAAGCTAGTTATTTAATTATATCTCCTACACCTTTAGAGCTAGAGCTTCCAAATTTTAAATGTAGATTTATATGTATTTTATATAATTTCGATTTTTGTTGTAATTTACCCCCCACCCCTATATCCACCCCCTCACCGTCACCTTTGTAAAAGGCGTATTTCAAGTAGTAGAGACTTGTGCTTTGGAATGTACATACATTTTCACCATATAATTACGCCCTGGGGGTGTGTGGCAATTGGGATGCTGATAAACTAGACAATGGGGGGCAACAAATAGTCAGCGACGACGCCTTTGATAAACGTGTTGATGCTTGATACTTGAAAGACATTCGCGCGCTGACAGCCAAATGCAGGATTGCTGCCTGAGGGAATGCTTAAGAGATTTAACAAATAAATTTTCTACTTATTCGAGCAAGCTGTGTGGGATCTTGAAAGCAGATTAAGAATGCAAAAAAAATAAAAATAAAAATAAAAATAAAAAAATAAATAAATAAATAAATAAAATAAATAAATGCATTAAATATGATGACACTTTTTGAGACTAAAATTAGCTGTGGCTAAAGTTTACATATTTTAAGGAGCAAATTATGTCAAAAGTCTTGAGCTTCTGTTCTGCCTCGTACAGCACTGCTCTTCCCATAAATTATGTAAAATTATATACGCAATGTGGATTTAAAACAAATTTAAGATATGTTTATTTATAAGACCAAAAATTAGAACTCGAAAACAGAATTCTAAAATTATAGAAATTTATAAAATATTTCTTGGCAAATTTATTATAAATTAATATATAATTTAATATCCTATATTTTAACTAAAATATATTTGTATAAAACAGTTATATTTATACATAAATTCTACATAAATGAAAGTCG